AGTATTGGGCAGGTGTGTGTGTGTGTGTTTGGGGAGTATTGGGCAGGTGTGTGTGTGTAAAGCTGTGTAAAGTGGGTGTGATTGAGCAACATGAACACTGTGTGTGTGTGTGTGTGTGTTTGGGCAGTATTGTTAATTTTCCTGATTTATCCTTTAAATCATTGATTGGATAAACAAAATCAGTAAAATATATCATATTCATATTATGCGAAAGGAGGGTTTACTAAATACTGAGTTTTTTTATGATGCCCAAATTTATGCACCTGCCTAATTTTGTTTAGTCAATTATTGCACACTTTCTGTAAATCATATTAACTTCATTTCACTTCTAAAATATCACTGTTTGTCCCCTATATGATATATTTTACAGATTTTTTTTAAATCCAAACAATCAATGATTTATAAAGGTAAATCAGGAAAATGGACTCTACTTATATAGTGTCTTTCTATCCAACCAGGATACTCAAAGCATTTTATACAATCTCTCTACAAAGCTAATCTGGAAAAATCATCCTATGAAGACTAGTCAGTGCTTTTAAATCACGTTCATACAGTGATGGGCCACACATCAGTGTTTTGCCCAGGGACACTTTGACATGTGACTGATCAGTGGGGAATCGAATCCCCATTGAAGGACAACTTCCCTGACTGACCATTTTCAGAGAAATGTTCTTCTTCATGTAGACATTAAAGAAGAAAAAAACATACCTTTTCYTTTTTTCCCTTGAACTTTTTTCCTGTTAACGTCTACAAATGCTGGTCCGTCTAATTTGGCAGTCGAGTCCCCCTAGTGGTCCGGAGTGAGTTGTTCTCCTAAATTAGGTCAAAACATCTTGATAGCTTGTTTGAGTGGATCCATTTTCAAAGCAGAAGTTGGTCCCCTTGGGCAAATAAGTATTATCACTTTTGCATTGTATGGTTAAAAAAAGTCTCGTCTAAAAGTGAAAAAGTCTTCAGTGTTTATATGAACAGTTATAATTTTTTTTAGAACTAGAGACTGGCTTTGGTCTTGGTCCTACTCAAACTAAAGAAATTCTATCATATATTTCCACATTGTAAAGATSAGAGTGATTTCTATTGCAGGCTGCAGGTAAGATGTTGATTACTGATAACTCCACAGAAAGTCACTTAAAAATCATCTTTTTATTTTTTTACTTTAACATCTGATGCAAAAACCAAAAAAGAAAATTAAACAATTAAAGAAAATCTCCAAAAATATCTGAGACTTCAGCAGAGAATAAATATATTTTCCCCCTTTCTTTCTTTATTACAAGCAGGATAACAATACAATGCTTTGTCCTCATTTGCTACAGACAGGCTGGCAAAAAGTCAACATGGGAACTTTTGAAAATCTTTATTCAAAAACAAAAGAAAAAACAAACAAAAAAAGAGGGTAAATTGGTCAAAAAACAGTCCAGTAATACAAAGTGTCATACTAAAGGTATGATATGAAGTGTGCTGCTCAAAGCACAGCAGCTGACATTTCAGACCTTTGCCAAGCTCAGGAGGAACAGGATGAGCACCTGTTGTTGTGCTGATGGACTCAGAAAAAGCAGTTTGACATTCTGATCTGCAATTGAAGGCTGGTGTGATATAAACCCACTGAGACAGAGGCTGGCACCTGCAGACAGTTCATTCCCAGTCTAGTCTTTTGGTCACTTCTGTTTTTTTCTCTTCTCTCTCATCCACGACACAATCTTCTTAGAAAAATAACTTGTGAGAAAGAGTGAACTATAAACTCCAGTCGACAGACAATAGACCTTGTTTTTAGGGTCAGACTGATCTGTTGGAAAACAAAGTGCAGTGTGTATGACTAAACCATATAATTTATATTTTACTCTCATTTTGGTTACAAACTTCAGGACACATTCTAACAGAGTTAAAATATAATCTTATCTCTGATATACAAAACTAGTCAAAGAAATATTCACAATGGACAACATAAGAATGACAAATAAGAAAGGTGACCCCAAAATTCAAGGACTCATATACTATAAARGTGTGTTTAAAGCATTGAACTGTGTAAATTAATTAGACTTTACAACAATAAATGGTAGTAGGGCTGGTATAAAACATATAGAATGTGCCTGGATGCGGTATAGCAACAGCACAGTGAGGTGGGAAGCCATCATGTTGACACTAACGCCCCAAGTGTGAACGTTGAGCTCCTCAACATATAAAGAATTTTAACCGAAAAACTGAGAGGCAACTCCCAAAAAACAAATAAATCATCTGTGCCCTAGTAGAAAAATACCGAACACCTGTTATCAAATCTATACAAGTTGGCAGATGGTGATGTGTATGAAAATAAACYGTATAAACATATCAAAAAATGCTTCAATAATGTCACATTCAAGACTTCCAGAGTCAGTAGCTTTCTATGTAACTGGACAGATATGCTTTGGAATAAATGAGGAATTCAGAAAATGCTGTTAGAGATGCAGAAAAGAGGTTCATCCATTATGAGCTACAATCTTAAGCTGGAGGACATGATGGACAAATCAGTTCAACATTCTCCATGATTTGATTGTGACATCGCCGATTCAAGTCTCCCTTCCTACATGAGCCGTATCTACAACGAGAACACCTCTTTCTTCTACAATACGTAGCAAAAAGACTGCAACATCCAGACRTAAAACGTTGACATCAATCATTTTAGAACCGTACAGAAGAACTTATGAGTGACGCAACACAGAGACAAACCTTACTACATAATATTAGCAGTTGCGTGACACAACATGGCAGCAAATACACAAGCACAYTGCAACAGTGAGGGTTAGCAAGCCATTTAGGACATCCATTAGTTATTATCTCATCACTTCCAGGCTTTTACTCTGAGCCGCCACATGATGGCAGCAGAGGGCATACTTTAGGGGAAGGAAAAAGTTCCTCGACATGTTTTTCCCAATGAATTATGTCTGAGACAAAAGATGAGGAGGGAGAATAGGTTAGCATGCAGAGACAGTCCAACATGCTACACTGACGGACAGAAAAACAACAAAGGTTGACACAAYTGCAAGGGTAGAAAACAAAAATTGGTCCACTAWCAGACTTGTTGCCCGGAGAACCTCATCCAACGCTCAGTTGAAATGAACTGAAAATGTAAATGTATGAATTAAGGCAGTGTGGCTAAAATACTGCACTTCCCCTTTAGAGTCTCTCCATGTCCCCTCCTTCAGCTGATGAGTGTTTGTAAGGCTTYATAAGACACCAAATCCTTTTTTTCTTCTTTATGTTTTTTTTTTAGCTTCTTAGCCTTCAGTTTTGTACCTATAAGGCAAAAGTGTGTCACATACAAACGTACAATAACAGGCAAAAACATGCGTACTCTTGCACACATGCACACACACACATACCTAAAGGGCTGAGCTTGACGGCTACCCCCCCCCCCTTCCCCATTACTTGGCCAGACCACAAAGTGTACATAAAAGTTTTTGACAAACATTTGCACAAGAAGCAAAAGCGACATGAAAGTGGGGAAGGAGACAAAAACGTGAGGCTGAAATGAGGTTCAAAAGGTTCAAAACTGTTCCAAAAAGCAATAACACCAAAGCACAAAGTATCAAAATGTTCTGAGGAAAATTATAGTGGGAACTTTAAAATGATTAAGACAGAGGCGGTGCAGAAAGCATTAAATTATAAAGATGAGGAGTCAGGGCAACTCTGTCTATGAAGGTTGTCCATTCAGGTGGAACCCAGAAAAACATGAACTGAACATGAAGTGTCAGTGCTTCTGATGTGTGTGAGCGTGTTTGTTTTCTAGAAAACAAATGCAGGTTTTTGTCAAACTTGCTTTTATAGATGGATTTTTTTTATTCCCATACTCTCACACAGAGGTCTCCGGTCCCGGAGCGTAGTAGGCAAATCCTGCCCCTGAGAAACGAAGCATGTAGGGGCTGAGCGTGTCAGCTCCACCCCCTTCTGCAAAGTGGGCAAGGAGTTTCTGCGGAAGAGGATTAGACCTGCGGAGGGACAGTGTTTCTGCAGCGCCAAGGCAGAGGTGGGAGGAATCTGCGCTCCTGCCTTTGTAAGACCGACGACAGAAAGACAGTGGAGACAACTCAGCCATGCCGCCTGGCAACAGCTTCTCACAAACCTTCAGAAAGAAACAAAAGACCCGAGTCAGCATTTAAAAACTGAAGAGGGAAATGAACATCTGAACAGAAACATGCAAACAAATAAATTCTGAAAGGGAACAAATGTGAAAATATGAGATATCAACAGACAAAAAATAGGGCTTTTCTCAAAATATTTTATCTAGTTTTTGGATAAGAATAAATTCAATAATATATGACAAAATTAAAGAACAAACAGTAACAAAGAACTATATCTATATATGATAAATAACTTCCACATAAACAAAAAAACCTCTGAACATTTCCATGAAAAATAAACTTTTGTGTCAGGTTTTGACCACTCAGTCAAAAGACTAAAATTTGTAGCTGCAATCCCATTTTCCAACACCAGATGTCGTTGTTTTACTTATACCCTTCATAYGAACTCCACAAGGCTAACCAGCTCATGTGCACGAGCATTTCACTGGATAATCTACAGTGGCCTTGTCCAGTTAAATAATACCTCAATTAGTCATTAAATACTTTCAGTTTGTATAAATGGCATGGATAGTTCACAATGCATAACTAAACCCTTTAACTCAGAAACACTTAATTTACATTTTTATATGACTTGAGCTTCAGCCCAGAATTTAAAAAGGCTCTACTCCATTTAAGCAAATATCATAAAAGAAACAGAGTTTAAATAACTGGGTTTTATTTAAAACCAGCTGAAAATTCTCATTTGTTTGCTATTCAAATCACATCCATTTCTATCCCCTTAAGCACCAAGAAATTGGTGCTTAAGTTAGAACCACCAGTTAGAAAAAAAAAAAAAAAACAGGACACACAAAAACATGATGACAGGGAATGGCAGGAACAAAATGCTACAAATGCAACTTGGCAGTGGTGGGCACCGCTAATTAAGAAATTAGCTCCACAATTTCTGAAACACTAATGAATATACTTTGTTCCGTAAAGTCAAAAGCGCACATGCAGTAGAAAAATTAGCTTCCCCTAATGTCATTCCACAGTTCATTTTGACACCAGTTGCTGACAATGAGTCATGCATTATATACGCACTACACTGCCATCTAGTGATGTATGAACTCTTTTACATCTTWCGTCTTCAACCGTCAATTGTTGATGATATGATTTCCTGTAATAGACATTTCGCTCATGGTGTCAAAATTAAACAATTTATGAGGATTGCTTAGTAGTGCTTCTTTAAAATGTGTTGGAGATTGCTAGTTCGGCTGCTGCTTCTTTGTGTTTTTCTTTTATTTATTGTAGATTTTTCATTAAAGATGCACATCAATAAAATAATTTTAAAACTGTTTATTGGAAAACTGAAGTGATGCATTCTGGGTACATCTGTGACGGGAAAGGAAAAATACATGTAAATGTGTCCAGCGTKAGATTCTGCTGCTCAGATTGTCCTCTGTGGGATCAGAAATGATTTTTAGATGCAGGAAACTTATACTGTACATTAAATGGAAATGAATGAGTGAGAAAATTGTCGRGTGTAAAAATTTGTTTGCCACTCAAAGGTGTGTGTGGGTGTTGGTGTGTGCGCGTGTGCTGCAGCGGCGCATGCGCTGATGGATATTTCCATCTTTACACGTCTTTAATAAATGACTGTAAACACAGAGAAACTTATGACTTTGGTGGACAACAACACAAAAACTCCACRGTCCACAGTAGACNGGAKGCTCCCCRAYCATTCCCAGGCMGATCCACCCTCCTGTCTGAGGCCAAATGATCCTCAGTCCCGGGGCCCAGCCCCACCATCGCTCGAGTCCAAACAACAAAAATGAAACAAAAAAAATCTAACAGTGTGTTCGATTTTTTTTGTTTTTGTTTCACTTTTATTGTTCAAAACTGAACGATGGCAAAACTGAACCCTGGGACCGAAAACCACCCAACCCCAGACAAGAAAACAGACCAGCCCAAAAATGATCAAAAAACTCTCAGTCCACTGCTAACAGCAAAGTGTCTATACCGTTGCCACACAGTTGGAACCACACACAGAGCGCACTGCCTGGGGAGCGCACACACAGCTGAAGAGAATAAAACTTATGAAAGAAACACCCCAATTCTCACCGAGAAAAAACCCAGCACACCAATTCAGATCAGCTGCGACGACTCCCCCGCCCCACAAGACGCAATTTTTGCTGTGTAAAGTTGTGCGCATGGATCAGCTGTCAGCTGTTCCCAGTCCCATGCCGTGGCAGGAACTCGCAGCGCAGACGCTCCTCCTTACATCCAGAAAACAGAACAGAGTCATATTTCTGTGGATTCAGGTCAGATTCGTGACTTTGTGGGGTAAAACTGTCGACTGAAAAACTTTGCGTAGCTGCCGCACAKTCTCACGGCAGGTGAAACCAACCACAGCAGGCGCGCCACTGGAGAAGGGCGGATGCGTCATACCACGCAAAGCATTGTGGGAGGTGTGTCTTCATTTTTAGTTTAGTTTCAATTGTTTTTTTTTTTCATTTCATTTAAAACCCAAAATTTTATACACATTAAAAACAAAAGATATACACAACATATATACTGTACACACACACAAACAAAATATATATAAGTATACAATTTATGAACCGTCATGCAGAACAGTTAATCACAGGATAAAGCCCTGTGTTATTTCTCCGTAAGCCAGATAGGGTGGTGTTCCAATACCGTATTTCCTCATGGTGTTTGTCACCGACACCAAGCCCTCTCTGCTGTTCAAGAAAATAACAAAATCCTTAGGGAATTGTCTTTACTATGAAACCAGTTGATGTTCTACTGCTGATTAAATAAAAAGCCAAACCTTCAGCTGTTCAAGGTGATGAACACTCGCAGATAATTAGTTATTAGCGGTACAGCATTTTAATTTTAGAAAGCGCAAATCTGTTTATGAATTATAAAAAATTAGTAAGACCGCTAAAGCGCAAATGAAATATTTAGGTCCGCAATTAGCGGATGTGTGCTTTAGCGGACTGGTGCCCACCACTACAACTTGGCTCACAAATAAAGACACTGTGGCATCATCAGTAGCTGGTTAGTGGCATTTTAGGTAAGGTGAGGAGACAAGTGGTTTACGCTGGGCCATGCCACCATGCACACATACATGAGGGCTTAAAAGAGAGTCACCTCCTCTTCCTGCTCCTCTCCTGTCTCTCTGGGCCAATCAGAAACTCATTCTGCTGGAGGACTGCGAAAGCATGAAGATGGTGGATGGCTCTACTGTAAGGCACGGGCGGGTGGACTGCAGTTACCATGAAAGAGTGTGGGAGAGTGGAAATGAAAAAAGGGGGAAAGAAAGAGAAAATGGCAATAAAAAAAAGGAAATGAAAGAAGTGAGAAAAGAGGCCCATACAGAAAAAAGAAAGAACAGGTAATGGTGCCAGTTTTAATCGTGGTGATCCATTAGGATGAAGAGAGAAGTGAGGAAAAGAGGAGAAAAAGCACAGCAGGAAGAAATCCATCAGATCTTTTAGTTTTAAGCTACAGGGAACAGGAAGTCAGTTTAAGCTGATGCTCAAAGCTATCAAGAGACTTAATGATCTCCCTGGATGATTAATAGAAAGAAACATATTTACAGCTTACTACTACTATGTCAAAAGATCACAGAGAATCTGAGCTGAGATTAAAGACACTATTTTATCTTTGCATGCTTCATTTCACTACTGATTTCTTATAGAGAAGTGAATATATGAATAAGTGAACGGTTAAATGGATTTAGTGAGACTATTGTTGATTCCTAGAGGGACATATTTACAGAGATTTTACCTGTGCGCGCTCAGTTGCTGTGGGACAAATAGCCCTGCAGAGAACCTTCTTGATGACATCTGGCAGCAAGCTGACGGTAATGAGGAGGATGATGCTGAGCCATGCCGGACCACTGGACAGCATCTGCATGAACACGTAGTACATCCTCTGGTAGTTCAGGAAGGGCCTGATGAGCAACAGGAAACACAGAAATGAATTCTCAAACAGGACCAGTTTAAAAAACATCAACTTCACATTTGCTAGTCGAATCAAATTGTATCTTTACCAAATGATGCCGCCCCAGAGAAGAGAGAAAATAACATAGAAAAGTAGGGATCCCCAGATGACAAAGTGATTGATCCAAGTCCAGTGATGTGTGTCCAAGGCAAGCTGAAACAAAGAAAATATTATAAATACTAAACCAGCCAATAAAGACGATTCTGATCAGTAAAACTAGACCCTGTGATTGATTAGTCAGACAAAGACTTGGACCAAATTTTACAAAAAAAAATCTATCTGCTTCCATCAGAGCCTAAAGTCAGTATCTCTCTGTAGGCGACTAAGCTAATTGGTGGACAGCATTCGTCAGGAATTATCCAGTGTCTCAAAACGTTTGGGGTGGTTCTCAATTTCCTCATGTGAATCAAAGAGGAGAAGAGTCCTGTTTAGGTTTGGAACAAGTTTTAAGCATTTGTGATACAAATTCATCCTCAAAATAATCAGAACTGTGCCACGAGTGTCTCCAGCCTGTCTCAAGAGGCCTAAGGCTGGGTTTTAACACCAGAACAGGAGTTCTGAAAGAAAGCGTCAGAGGCTAATGTCTAGGTATGTAAACCACACTGATGATGTGGCCTTTACCATGAATAAATAAATAAAATAAATCAGAAGTCAGTCTATCTTCAATTTTAAAGTGTACTCTCTAGATGATTACCGTATTTATTCATGTATAATACGACCCCCGCTTTTTGAGCTTAAAAAGCATAAAAAATTTAATCATCAAACTACTTCCAATTTCTTACAGACTTCAAGATTTTTCAGCCTTGCAGTCTTTATCCATTTCAGTAAAATGATCATTGGACTGTTCATTTTATTTTAACAACATATGTACTAAAATGTATTTTGACAACAAATATACAGTATATCAACTGTAGCAGCATCATATGAATTCTGGCATTTTACACATAGTCCACCTGGATGCGCCAACACAAAAGTCAGAGACTTCACATGAGATTTGGGCCATCTTCTGGGGGAAAAGCAGATTACTTCCTACTCGCCAGCGCCCCCTCTGGTGGGGAAACTTTTTTCAGGGATACAAACTCTTTCAGAACACCGGTAGACGGCAGCCATTACAGACGAACATGTTTGTTGTTGTTCCAGGAGCGGCTCGGTCACATGTTAATGTCATTAGTTCATTATCATTACTGAGGTGCAGGACTGCTTTGTCCCCCCTTTTTTTCGCATCATGTCACCTGCCTGGACCTGTTATTATCTCRCTCTGTAGCACGGTGGAGTGTCAGAGGTAAGCTTGCTTCAACAGCTTTTTACGTAGTGGTCTCATTTCCGGACTCAGGCATTTTGTGAATGAAGCTGATATTTTAGTTAAAATACATAAGTAAAAATATTTATCCGAGTGTAGGATTACCCCCCCAACTTTAGGGATGATTTTATGGATAAAATTTTACGTATTATACTTGAAATAAATACGGTAAGTAATAATCACGAAGGGCAGTGGCACAAAGCATGCTGAGACGGGTATGATGTGGGTTGTAGGTGAGCGACAAAATAAAGTGTACAACCTAGAACATAAGTTTTGCAAACTGTGCACACAAAAATGGGCCCTGGCTGCTCAAAATGTGGACACACAAATGGTCACAAACACTAAGGATTCAGTGGGACAGCAATGGAAAAGCTGTGTATTTTCTCTTTTTTTTTGTTATTTGATTTGTATATTTTTTGTTGTAGGTGAATTTGCTTTATTCTCAAATGAAACGAATAAATGAATAAAAAACAAACAAACAAAAAATAAACAACTATTTTGTGTTGACAGCTAGTCTCTGATAGTCAGAGCTCAGTAGACACAAGCTTTAAGAATGTTAAAAGGAAATAAACAATAACTAACTTTTCAAAGAACCATGTTGTATTTACTAGAAACTACAACTCATCTTTCAGAGCTCTATAGACAATTGATTAGACAGACCTGTTACTTTTTAATAACTTTTAAATTTAAACATTTTAAACATTTGGACCTGCATTCATGGGAAAACTATAATTAAGCGTAACTGTTAGGATTTGTTCTGATTATGAATGAGCTCATGTGTAAACCACAGGCAATTACCGATTTATTTTTAAATCTAGTAAACAGAAAAGTGCATTAATATCAAACTGTTGTATTTATGGGCCAAAACCAAACAAACCAGTTTATAAATCAGCCACTGAAAATGCAAATCAGTGAACCTCTATACCAACTACTTGATTACACAGACTGCTAAAAACTAAGATATGCAAATACAATGATTTTAATTATACGAATAAATTAGGCTATGCAATAATAAAGCTTTTTAATCTACTTTCATCCACAAGGTCAAGCGCTAACACACATACCTTGAGTGTAACAGTGAACACCAATACAGTAAAGATGAGAGTGCCAAACGTCCAGTTTCCAAACATCTGCAAAGGAAGAGAGGAAGATGGTCAGTGGTCATTGTTAGGTTTTCATCCAGTGGTTTTAAAATGCATCTGTGAGCAGAAAAAAAGGATATAAACACCCTTATATAATAGAACATGTAGATAGAACATGTAGTAGGAAGTGATCTGTGAGAATTGGAGCATCCTGTCAGCTTTGATTTAAGGTTTGTAGCCAATAAGCAACAAATGTTCCAAAACAGCATTCACATTTTCTACTCACTAAAATCCTAGAAAGGATGAAGCGGACATCAGGAGTTAACAGATGGGATGGGAGTATGAAAGAGGGAGGGGGTGGAGAAATAGGGAAAATCGCTAACAAACTACAGAAACTAGACTACTTTTGTAACAGCTAAAGCTGACAGTTGATAGTAAAAGTATACCTATATTGGTAATAATTTCATCATCAGAGTCATTTTGACTTTTTAAGCCATTTTTTAAATGTTGGATTTGAAGAAGCAGTGAAAACAAAACAGACACACAAATACATACAAAAAAATGCACAAACACAGCAGACAGAGAACACAAACAGATGCTAAATCATTTCAACATTTGTTTTGCTTTATTTACTACCACATCACAACACAAGGATAATGTRGAGAAGCATCTAAAATTTCTACTAGGCTAAGGATTCAGTTTCGCAGATTATTAGGCAGAGGGGGAAATGTAGCTCTAGAAAATAAACACACTCGAATGAAAGCGCATGAATGATGTCGTGTGAGGAAGAATGAAACGGTCAAACTGAAAAAACAACAGGAAGAAAAAAGGGAAATAAGAGACAGAGAGAGCTGGAAGGGAGGGAGACAGGCTTACCATCTGTGTGTTGGTGGTCATAAGCTGAAGAGGAGGAGGAGGAGGAGGAAGAGGAAGAGAAGAGCAAAATAAAGAGCGAGAAAAGCAAGAGAGAAGGGTGGGGGGGAGAGAAAAAGAGAAAAGAATCAGGACAAAAGGTAAAAATGAATCTCAGGATGTTTCAACTTAAAAAACAGGACCAAAGGCAATTAAAAACAGTTGACATGATACAAATTAACAATACAGAGAAAGATGCTATTGTGTTGTCGATATGAATGGAGATCCAATGTTACTAAACTATTTGGGGTCTCGGGACAGAAACTTTACTGTTACAGAACCGTAGGAACAATATAGTTAACCCTATGCTTTTAATACTGCACTAAAAGAATCCAGTGAAGATGAGTGAGGCTTTATGATGACTTTATTTTGATTATTCTCTCACTAAAGCACACCTTAAACACCAAACTAAATGCCCTGCCTGGCCTTTTTTAAAGTATACTCCCTAAAAAAAGGCTGTTCCCACCACTTTCTCCAAATTTTCACCAAATACAAAGGCTCACCTGGCCATTGCTGGTGAAGGTGGTGTTATCAAACAGGAAGTAGGCACCAAAGAAGAAGATGACAGCATCAAACACACCCAGGCATGTCCAGTACAGGAAGACAGGCCAGCGGAGGAGGGAGTTCTTGGCGATGTCCCTAAAACAAACAGGCACAGACATGTTTATTATTGTAGCCATAAACAACAAATTTATATTTTATACCAAGAAAAAAATCTGTGTGCAGAACCTGTACAAAGTAGGTTCCCTCTTCAGCGCCTCCACAGTGACGTGCTGCTCCACCAGGCTGTAGAGGAGGATGGGGAGCGACGTGAAACTGATGTTGTACAGCGTCAAATACGCCGTGTCGTACAGAGGCTACAGAGAACACAAAATACAAGTCAAATTATTATAATCTGAAATCATGCTACGATGAGAAGAGATGTTTGTATTATAGTTAAGCAATATTTGTAAGAACTTCTTCACTCAGAATGTATGTTGGTGATGAGGGCCAGCTACTACCACACCAAATTTTAGCTCAAAATTTGTAAAACTGAGAAAAATTTGTTTGCTAAAATTGCTCTTAATACAGCCAACCTTAATCATGTTGACCTTAAAGTTATCATTTGTAAGTTTTATCATCTTAATTACCAGACTAATTCTGAAAGTTTGTGTACTAAATGAAAGACAATGCAGAGCTGAGTGGAGTAGTTTCAGCCAGCACTACTTTTTATTTTACATGTAATCATTGGTACGATGTGAACATTATCTGCTTGTTGTTACTCTGACAGTATAAAGTGCTTACCTGCTGAGAAAATCCACAGAAGAACTGATACAGAAACTGAGGGAAGATGAAGCATACATTCTGCAAATATAAAAAACAAAAAGTGAAGAAAGTGATGAGCCAGTGACAGCTACAAGTGAAGTAGTTTCAGGAGTCCAAACATGCAACAATCTAAACATTCCTGTCTGTGGAGGAATTGTGCACTCTAAGCTCACTGAGTGGGCCGAAACGAGTTGGCCTGCCAAAATGGGAGGGGAAGGAAAAAAAAACAGTTGGCAGGGCACTGAATGCTGTGGAAGCCACCCACACCAATCATCATGGCCATGAATCCAGGAGAATGTTGCACAAGGGATTCATAAACCCAGCAATCTGTCAGAGTTGCTAAAAAATCTGGTTCTTTGTAACTCAGTGTTTCGCTGGGAATTACCATAAAGTGATTAAAAGATGCAAGCCCCCAGAGAGCATGACAATTTKTCAGGTACCTTGTAGAAGAAGTACTGAACTAGCTCAGCAATTCTGATGTAGTAGTAGTGGCCGTGAACAAGCAGCATCTTCTTCAGGTGTTTGAACTTCGGGATTGCGTAGTCACTGTTTCTGGCTGCCTGTCGGCCTTCTTTACCCATGATGCCTGGGGGAAGAGAACAGTTCATCAACGAGAATGGAAAAAGTACCAACAATACATCCATCTTTCATGCACATTCTGATGGTTTTCTATTCAGTACACCTCTGGCATGACTCATCACCAAAGCTGATTGTTAGCAAATGTTTTGTAAAGACACAGATACTAATCCATTAATTCTTCTCTAACATATTAATATTCAGCTTTTAAAATCAAATAGGACACTAATAAAAATGATAAATGAGGTATTGAGAAAATTAGACAGTAATAAATGGTTATAATTGAACTCACCAATGCCTACATGTGCTTCCAAGATCATGCTGACATCGTTGGCTCCATCGCCAACAGCAAGGGTTATGGGGTGCTCTTTAGAAGCTTTGATTAGTTTCACAATCTGCCAAAATGAAAACAAAAACATTCTGATCAAAGTGACTGTGATAGTTAGGAAGTTCAGCAGCCTTGTGCATATTTGAACAAGTCACCTGTGCTTTTTGCAGCGGTGCCATGCGACAGCACAGAACAGCGCTACAGTTGCGACAGATCTCTAGAAAGATCTCTCTGTAGTTGCCATGGCTGGCRCCCTCCTGGTTAGACTTTAATATTGCGGAGAGAGTGGCTCCGTCAATGATTAGGCCAAAGTCCAGGCAGTCTACTGACAATCTAGAGGAACATACCACAAAATAAACCAAATTTACCTACACAAGTCACTGACCAAAGCAAGAACAAGTGCCAGATTGGGTTGTGCAAGTCGCAAAAACGAGTGCATCATTCCATACCCAGATATGGAGCGTTGTCTGAGAACGGTTCTGTTTAGTTCAAACAGAACATCGTGCAAGGTCTGCTCCTCTGTGCGTTTCTTGGTCAGCTCCAGGATCTGGGTGCTGCGTCGGAACAGCTTGCTGGCGTAGCACGTCGCAGCGGCCGTTTCCATTTTGTCCCCGGTGAGGACCCAGACTTTAATCCCAGCCTTGTGCAGCGACTCGATGGTGTCGGCAGCTTTCTCCTGGAGCCTGTGCATCAATAAGTCAATAAGTGTTTCTGCCCCAACTGAAGCAGATTTCAGCAATCCATCTAAACTCCAGTCAATCCATTACCAACTGGTGATAACTTATCAATGCACGACCACCCCTGTCCTTGCCCATCAGCAGTTTGTCTATAAGGAAATTAAACTGTCAAACAGTTGATCAGTCCGGGTCGATACTGAAGTCTATTTAATTAGTGCATAAGATATTTCATATGCAGAGAGAAAAAGAAACTAAAAGCAAAGCAATATTCACAATGAATCTTCTCTGTCCTCCTAACTCATGATGAGCTTTGAAATTAGTTTTATAATTCCCTGATCCCTCCATGTTTCCCTGCTGCAGCAGCACCATCTTTAAATCAACCTCCCTTCAGGTACCAACCTGTCCTCCACTGCTGTGGCACCCAGAAGAACAAAGTCCCTCTCAATGATGTCATAGGCCTGCGCCAGCCTCTGCTCCCTGTCCTGCAGGGCCAGCTTGGCTTCAGTCAGGTGATGACATGCTTCCTGATATTCAGACCGGGACAACCTTCGATAGGCGACGCACAGAGTCCGCAGACCCTCCTGGTTTCAAAGTCATGAGAGAGATGAAGACATTAACCAAATGATTGAGGTTCAGAATGTGAATATGGAATATGAGCAGAGTCAGAAAGCACCAAATGTCAGTACAGATCTTAATGAAAGCTTTTTAACAGGAACACCAGAAATGTTAGAAGGGCCCCATGAGGGCAATCATTTTCCTCTCAGCCTTAGCAATCAATGGAGGATTTGTGATGATATCTCAGCAGACAAACTCCCTGAAGAGTCCTGACTTGTGGGGTGTAGGCAAAGAAAACCCACTCCCTCCTGTAACTACTGAGGTTAAATGTAAATACTCATCTTTTTCTCTAGAGTTTAAAAAGAGGAGAGCAGTTAATGCAGCAAATATCCAGTAAAAATAGGCACCCTTGATTTAAATTTGGAACTGTTTTATTACAGAATATGGCTAAATTCAGTATTTAATGTCAGAATATCTAGTTTTATTTCAACTCATAACCACTAATAATAGATTGGTTCTTTGATGCATCACTGATGACAAAAAAAGCTTGTACTAAAGATATGACTCATCTTCACTCAAAGTTCTTCTCTCATGTTGGAAAAATTTTTAAGTGGGGTTGGGGTATTAGACAAAATCAACTATTTTGAGATTTATCTCATCTCATAATCTCTGATCCACTGTTATTTGTCCACAAATCTGTCCTGGTTAAAGCTCCACGGTTGTCTGCAGATGAATTCCTTCGTGCAAGACATCATTTTAATCTCCATTCAGCTGTTTTTGGACAYGTTTGAATATCTTTATAGATATCTGCTCCTGGGTACAACAGTCAACTTCTACAAAGGAGTAGTTATTGTATTATTATCATTTTCTTTGTGCGTGGTTGAAGCAAAATGCAGCATCTGAGCGCTTTCACCATAAACAAACATGGCTATGAACTTCTGACCAATCACACAGTAAGTTCTCATGTTTACAGGGGAGTGAAAAGTTCTCCTGGTGGGTTGTGTGACAAGAGGGGTTGTAAGACTCGAAGCTAGGAACTGAATGACTGTTTTCATCAAGAAACTGCGACACTGAGCCAATTTCGCCAATTTGGATGCACCATACAGAAGCAGGGACTGGTATGAGGATTTTAAAAGAGACAAAGGCCAGTTTCAAGGTGTTTAGATAAGACTATGTTGCAAAGTCAAATTTATTTTTGACACATAGTGTTTTCATTAAAAAATGAAGGTAATACAGTTACTTTATTGTAATACAGAACTGAACTACGTGCCTGGAAAATACACAATCTCCATCTCTCCCCCACACACACCTTAAAAAGTGGCACATCTGCAAAGATGTTCTTTAATATCTGGGTCAACAGCAGGTAGGTAAACCAGAGAGAAAATGAGGAGGCACATCTAGTACATGTAGGAGTGAAGCTGTTTTCAATCCTGTCCAGATTATTTAAAAATTATTTTTATACTTAAAGCTCAACACTGGAGAGTTTGTACTAGAGGAGCATTTTACAATAAGTGAGAAGTGAAGTCTGTGGAGGCAAGATTTTAGCCCCATTTGCTCACTTTGAGTTCTCCAGACAAACATCTGCTCTATTTYCATTTGAGCTCTTCCAGACATGTCACAGACTTTGCATACGGAATGTGGATAAGAATGAATTATTTCAAAATTTCATATTGTGATTATTGTGTGTAGGTTTCTTATAGTTATCAATTTTTATCACAATATTTTATAAATGTGTAGAAAATTTGCAAAAATCACCACTGAAAACCAAAGTTTAGTACAGACAGTAACATTTCAGCTGAATTATTGTTTTCTTATTGATATTAATGTATTATTGCATTAATAATATTACTGGTTGTTGAAATAAGCTAATTTAAAGCACTGAAATGTTATTTGAATTTTTTAATCATGTAGTGATATTTCTACTCAGTTTTTTAATGCTGAGGTCATAAAATTTAGTTTTCAATTTTCCATACATCAGAAGTTATACCAGGAAATCTGTAACTGTTTTCTTTCTTTACAAATGTAAGGTCAAGCTTGAACTGAATGATGCAGAACTCTGCACTATCAAATAAAAAAATACTGATTACTGATAACTGTCCATCAGATCTGTGCTCACAATACATTTACATATTTTTAAACTTGTTAATTTAGCATTACTTTTGAAAGAACCAAATATTTTTCTAAATTAAGAGATGTTTAGGTAACATTATTAAATTGTTTTACACAAACTAGAAGCTAAGATGAGTTCACTGCCTTGAACCCATGAAAACACATTACTGTTTGACTGTGATGGACCCCTGGACTCATCCTAACATCTGTACAGGTCAAAATAATCACTTACTACAGCATTCTGCTCCACYCGGGCTTTGACTTGCTCCACCTTTCCAGATACTACTCGTGGAAAAATGGACGAGTCAGCACCTTTACAGAACAGCAGGTAGTCTCCTGTGAATGCACACATACACACAACCAAACATTTTGTAGGTTAAGTGCAGAAACCCTTCAGCAYCTTATCATGAATTTATTGAAGATATTTTTGTTGCGGTGTTTGAGCTCGTCTTACCTGAGCTCGACTTGACTATGACGCTCATTCTCCTTCTGACAGAATCAAAGTTCAGCACATGGAGCAGCTCAAACCTGGAGAGATGGTATCAACACAACACACAATTTTTCTTCATGTGCTTTCCAGACTTCTGCAGAAAAGTAAAACTTGCCTAAACAAATCTCTAACAAATCTCATTCAGGCTCTTCTTTCTTAATGCTGCTGAAGYTTTTTCTTTATTGTCTGCACAATAGAAATTTACTCCTTTTCTATTAAACTGTTAGTCTGTTCTGTACAAGTGAGTAATGTGAGAAAGCTCATATGCCTTTTGTCAATTATTGAGTAATGCAAAAATGTTTTTACAACTTATTTTAAGAATTTCACATCTTATAAAATGAACCAAAATGAAAAGAGTTTTCTAACTCAAACTAGAATAGTTCCTGGAATAACTATGAAAGAGCTTGCCACCAGGCATCCATTTTAAATTTACAATTTGACTTTATTATTTATTTACATAAATAATAAACATGGGCAGACAACACCCTTTTTCTCCAACAGTCTCAGCCTTCTCTCAAGCCCAACAAACAACCATAAAATAGCTCACTATAGACACGTCACTGCTGAGAGAGACCAAAGTTGCTTGCACAACCCAATTACAATATATTAAAACATTAGACAATTTTCATAAAGCCACTCTTGTATCCACCCATTTTCATTAAGTGCTTCATTTCATTAAGTGTTTCTTTTGAAGTTGCAGATATTTGAAACCTTTGATGAACACGTAACACAAGCTGAGAGTTAATTTGTTGACTGATGATAGAGCACAACCACATTGACTGGATTAATCCTGGTTTATCTGCTGTGGTGACRACAAAATGTAGTCAACAAACCTTTCAATCTCATCATCTTTGTTGAGGATCTCCATGTAGTTGTCTTTCAGTCTCAGATAGGTGTAGCCCAGACTGGAATATGAGAGCAAAGAGAAAAATAATAAATAAAAGTKGGACAGAGCTTGTCCGTGTTTGGGATCACTCTTTTCTGATGAAGATAGGGAGACGGAAGCTGTTCTGGTGCATTTAGCACATCCTGAGCTCACAGACAGGCAAAACAACAAACATCTGAGGAATAGACTGTTTGTGTGTACTTGTTTTGAGGAGTGAGGGACATTTGTGCCATAGTTACTATYAAAGTGAGGTATCTGATGTAAAGTGAGGACCTCATCAATGTCCTCACTTTGTTTACAGCTCTACTGCGCTTTACTAGTTAGGTTTAGAGGTATGGTGGGAGTTACATTTTAGTTCAGGTTAGGGCTCGCTATAGCCCAGTAAYGGTTAATTTTAATTTTAGGTGTCTGGGTTAGGCATAAATACGGTTACAAAATGAATGG